GAGCCGCGCGGCACTTGGGCACTGGCGCGCGCTCGGGGCCAGCAGCCGGGAGCCGGCCAGCTGGGGCCATGGGCTGCGACGGCCGCGTGTCGGGGCTGCTCCGCCGCAACCTGCAGCCCACGCTCACCTACTGGAGCGTCTTCTTCAGCTTCGGCCTGTGCATCGCCTTCCTGGGGCCCACGCTGCTGGACCTGCGCTGCCAGACGCACAGCTCGCTGCCCCAGATCTCCTGGGTCTTCTTCTCGCAGCAGCTCTGCCTCCTGCTGGGCAGCGCCCTCGGGGGCGTCTTCAAGAGGACGTGAGTGCCAGCCCGCGTCCGCGCCCCGCAGACCCGACCCCCGCCCCCGCCGCTCCTCGCACTCCCGCGCCGACCCTTCCCTTCCCTCCCCGCCGCTGCCCACCGCGGGGCTGCCCGCCGCCCCCGCCTCCTGGCGGCGGCGACCACCCCTCCCGGCCCGCCAGCCGCGCCGCCTTAGCCGAAGGGCCGCCTCCTCCCCCACCCCAGCTCTCCCCGGAAAACTCTCTCCGGGAACTGAAGGTGACTTCTGGATTATTTATTTGCCTTCGCTCACCCCTGTGAGGGGGTAAACCCATCTCCCCCGGCTCCCCCCACCCACACCCCTTGGGGAGCGGAGTGGTGGAGTCTGCCGAGGTGGGAGGGTCCGAGGTTTGTCCGTAGCCCCTGCTGCCGGGGGCAGAACTGGAAGTGAGGGGGCAGGAGAGTGGGAGTGTCGCCTCGGGGGCCGCTGTAGGTGCCAAAGCTTGCTGCGGTTGACGAGCGCCCTGGGGCAGGCTCCACCTCATCATCAGTTCCAGACCAGCTGACACAAGCTGTCCCTTCCCTTCCCCGGTGGCCACGGGACTGGTGGTCCTGTGTGGCCTTGCGCCTGAGGGGGCCAGGGTTCCTGTATTGGCCGCTGGAGGCGGAGCCCTTCGGCCTCTGAGACACAGAGGACCTCCCCGCTAGGGCCGTGGAGGGGGTGCAGGGTGTCTCACCCAAAGCTTGGTAAGGCGCCCCTCCGTCCCTGGTGCCCGGGGCCCCTTCAGTCCCCGCACCTCATGTTACTCCTCCCTGGCCTCTGCCCCGGGGCGGGTCTCTGGACTTTGCCTGGCATGCTCCCCAGAGATACCCTTTTGGATACCGTTGCAGAGCCCAGTTCTTTCGCTCAAATTGAACAGGGCCACCTCCTTGGAGCCCTTTGGAAAGGCAGCAGTATTCACTCTCCTAGAGCAGCTGGCAGACAGACCCAAAGCAGGGCAGAGGTGACTTGCAGGCCATAGGCTGCTGGAGATTTCCCTAGTCCCAGCTCCTGCCTGGATGGTTTCCTGGATTGTATGGACCCAAGCAAGCAGACGGCCTGGAAACAAAACCATGGTTGGGCTATCCCCGTGAAACCTCTGGGGGCCATGGGGGCAAGGGCTCTTGCCCCTTGGCTCACTCCTAGAGGAATCCAGGAGGGTGGATTTTCCTGTCCACCTCACTTCCAGAGCTGATGGAGAGGAGCACGGGTGTCACAGAGATGGAGCCCACTTTAAGCCACCCTACTGACAAAGTATTACCAGTTAGGGAGTGATTATCCTTATTACCACAATCCTCTTGTAAACTTAAAAATTCTTTTAAGAAGCAAGTCTCCTTGTGTATACTAGTGTTTCTGTAGGTTTTGTACAGGATTGGATTTATGTGAGATTCAGAAAATCTTAAGAAAAGCTCAGGATCTTTTCTGATTCTGCCTAGTGGTCTAATTAGAAATCTCTCAGGGTGTTTTCTGTGTGTGTATGTGTGTTATACGTATTATGACTTACAAAATCTCCCTTACCTGGAACTTTTTAGGAAGATGTGTAGTGCAAAGAACAGGAAGGGAATGAGTACAATTCTAAATGGCAGGTTGGCGTGCCAGGTTTGGGGAAAAAGGCAGAGATAAACATCCAGCTGGGCCATCTCTTCCTTATTTGCTCTGTGCCTCTCTCAGGAGTCCTTACTCAACGGGGGACTCTGGACAGGCAGTGGGAAGGGTCTTTCAGCGGGAAACCAGCTCACAGAAAAGAAGAATGATAATGGTAACAGTAATATTGAGCACTTAGTGCTAGCACTGTTTTAAGTACCTCACATGTATCAACTCATTTAATCTTTACAACAACCCTGTAGAGTAGTACTATTATCTCCATTTTATGCGTAAGAAAGCTGAGGCACAGAGAGGTTAAGAAATATGCCCCAGGGCACACAGCTATTTAAGAAGCCTACTCAGGATTTGAACACAGGCATTCGCTGCTAGAACCAGATACTCTGGAAATGCCTCTTGCTTTATGAGTAATCAACTTCAGCTCTGCAGGGTACAAGTTGTACCCTATACTCACCAGGCACAGGCATGGCATGAGGATCCCTATGAATACTCATGGGCTGAGTATTCTTGAGCTGACATTCCTGGGAAGGAAACTGTGGGCCTCTGGAGCTTCCTGCTGGGATCTGAGGGGTGGGGGTGGGGGAGGGTGGGGGAGTAGGTTCAGGTTTAAATTCTGAACCTCAGTCCTCTCACCCCTAAGACAAAATGTCATAAAAAACTCTTTCCTTTGGTTAAGAGCAAAGCAGACTTCAGTGGAAATGCAGCGATACCACGGGGGTGGCCTGTGTGTAGACTAGAGTCACCACCTAACCAGGGCTGGGCGGCCCATCACAACCCCCCACCCTCCAAAACAAACAGACCCTCTGCCCACGCTGAAACCAGCCTCAAGCTGGATTCCTTTAGTCTCAGTTTAAATGCTAATACCCCGCGAGTGCTTTTCAGCTGAAGTGGTTACCCGCCAGCGCTCCAGGCTGGGTGCTGGAGTGGGGTGTTGGTTTAACAGATCGGAGGGCCAGCTGTTGCGGGGGAGAGGGGACGAGGGCGGAATGACGCGCATGGGGAGATGAGAGGGGGGCAGCGCCTCTTTCTCTAGGGTTCCTGCTCAAGTCCTGCCTCCTGCTTGGCACCGACTAAGGGCTAGGCCGAATAGGGTTTCTGGAATAGGGTTTCTGGATGCCGGAGTCGTGCATCAGAGGGACTGCGTGTGGAGGGCCCTGCCGGTTAGAGTGGATGCAGGGAAGGGTGGGAGCCCTCAGCCCAGGACAGGACCAGCTTGCCCGCTCGGGCGTGTGCGCTCTCTCTCTGGCTTCTAGCATAGACAGAGATCTTGCAGGAGGCCACCACAGGCAGGCCAAGAGGGAGAGGAGTGCCCTTACAGCCAGAGAATCTGGACTAGACCTTCCTGAAGAAAATCTTGCTTATTGAGAGCAGGAAACCATTCGGAGTGGAGAACACAAAGCCACCTGGTTGGCAGGGTGTCTAGGTATGTGCTTTGTCAGACAGGAAGGAGGAGGGGGTATTTAGACACAAGCCCAGGGTTTTTTTTTCCTGGTTTCTTGGGGACCTGTCTCACCACCCTGGGCAGACCCCTTTATCTCAAAGGCGTCGAGTAGGTCAATGGCTTTCAGAGCCTCCCCAGCCTTTTCGCCGCCTCACCTTGGCCTCTTGCCTGCCTGCACCCTCTTAATTGAAGGCTTGTTGAGTTTTTCCTCTCTTTGCCCTATTCACTATCTCCTTCTCTGCCTTTATCTTTTCTTGAATTCCTGCAAGTCCTGCCCTGCCCCAAACTCAGCTCTGACTCCTTCCTGCCCCTTGCGTGAAATCGTCTTCCACGCAGTTTCCTCTCACGCTGGCCCCTGCAGTCCCTGGAACACAGTATGAAAGCCGGCTCCCTCCTCCGAGCCGAGTCCTGCTCAGTCTCCCATCTGGAAGGCCTCTGCCTCTCCCTCCAGCAGCTTGTCCACCTTTCAGCATGTGACAAACCTGGGCTAAAAGCTCACTAAAGGGCTGGCACTAGGCATGGTTCTTTCTTTAAGAACCCATCTCAACATAGAGTTACCATATGACCCAGCAATTCTACTCCTAGGTATATGCCTCAAAGAACTGAAAACATATCCACACAAAAACTTGTACATGAACATTCATAGCAGTATTATTCATCATAGCCAAAAAGTGGAAACAACCCAAATGTCCATCAGTGGATGGATGGGCAACATAATGTGGTACATCCCCACATTGGAATATTATTCAGCCATAAAAAGGAATGAAGTGTTGTTACATGCTACAACATGGAGGAACCTTGAAGACATTATGCCAAATGAAAGAACCCTATCACAAAAGACCACATACTATATGATTCCGTTCATTTGGAAGTCTAGAGTAGGAAAATCTATAGATATAGAAAGTAAATTAGTAGTTGCCTAGGGCTGGGGGTGGGGTGCAGAGAGGAATGGGGAGTGACTGCTAATGGGTATGGGGTTTCTTTTTGGGGTGATAGAAATGCTCTAAACTTAAATTGTGGTGATGGGTTCACAACTCTGAATATACTAAAAAGCACTGAATTGTACACTTTGAATAGATGAATTTTATGGTATGTAAATTAAATCTGAATTTTTTTAAATTAAAAAAAGTTCTCAAAACTCATCCTACCCCTTAATTCACTCATTCAACAAATATCTCTTGAGTCAGACCCTGTTTTAGGGGTGAATACAACACAAGGCTCCTGCTCTCATGGAGCTTCCATTCTGGAGGACCATTTTAGTGAAATGAAGGAAATAAAGGGGGTAAGGATGGAGAGTAACAGAGTTGAGGGCTACTTTAGCTAGGTGGTCAGGGAAGGCCTCTCTGAGGAGGTGACATTTGAGCTGACACCTGAATGACAGGAGAGAGCCATGCCTGCAAAGAACTGGGGGAGAGGTGTTTTGGCACAGACAGCACTGAAAGTCCAGCCGATGTGTTAGGAGCACTCCCTGTGAGCCCAGCGCCCCATCGGGCCGAGGGACGTCATCACATACAGGATGCAGCCTGGACCTGAGTCTAACAGGGCAGCCCTGCCTTAGGTTGGGATCTCCCCAAAGACAGGCTTTCTTGCTCCTCCCTCTGGGTGCCCCCAGCCTTAACACAGGCCCTGAACAAGCTGGGGTGTCAGTGTGGGGGTGACCCAGGTAGAGGGGGGGCCTCTCCTGGTCCCTCCCTCAGTCTGAGTCTCCCCTTCCCTCTCGCTCTGGCTTGCGCTGTGGTCTCCAGCCTGCCCTGGCTCCCAGGGGGTCCCTTGTCTCCTGGTTTCTTGTCCTAGGCCGCCACTCCTCTCTGGGGGCTGCCTGCCCCTCTGGGGTGGAGAGGGGCTGGGGATGCCTCTGGCTCTCCCTCAGTCTTGCACTGTGGCCCTCTCCCCTGGTCCTTCAAGGAAGGAGATCATCCAGGGTGGACAGTGGGATCCCCTGAGGCAAGAGTGTGAAGAGACTGGTAGTGCCCGCCTGGGGTCAGTGCCTACCCTGGGGTCGGTCACTCTGGGAGCCTGTGGCTGGGCCCCACCTTGGGGAGTGGAGGGTGGGACAGGCTGGCTGACACCTTACTGCTCCAGCCCCTTCTCCTGTTTGAGAGCCAAGCAGCCCCTCCTATCAGCACCAGCAGGGCCAGAGCCCACTGCAAGGCCAGGTCAAGGTGATCACATGTGCCCTCTGGGTAAGGCAGAGCACGGCCACGTGCCCAAGGTCACACGGCAAACTGGCGGGGCAGGCGCCTGGAGCGGATCCTCGCAAGGCTGGGGCAGGACCTGGCTCCCTGCTCTCCGTCCCCGTTTGCACCTTCTGTGTGGAGCCATTAATGAGTAACTCACACTTTTCTCAGGCTTCCTGAGGAAGGGTTCCCTAGACTGTTTAGACTATTCCTGGGTCTCGCTACGCCTTGAAGGCATGGGGCCTTTCCTCTAATTGGCCTGAAATAACCTCTGAATCCAGGACCTGGGGAGGGAAGATCACTCCACTGGCCTCTGCCTCGATCGGGAGTCAAGAGACTGGACCCTGGCTCGGCGTTGCTCCACTCTTCCCTGGTCAGCGCCTGTTTCCTGATCTGTGAAATGAGGGTAGGACTCCTAGTTCCTTGTTGCCACGCTAGCAGTTCCTGGACCAGCCTCCTGGGGTCACCCCATGGGCCTTGCAGCAGGCACAGAGGCAGGGCCTGGGGGCGGATCTGGGACTGGCCCCGATCTCTGCACCCTTTCTGCTGAGTGCACTTTTCTGGGCCTGGCAGTGATCTTTGGGGGAGCCTGGGGCCAGCAGGGAGGGGGCGAGCATCGGGGAGGCGGCCCCAGGTGGCCAGGGGGAGATCCCAGTGAATGGTCAACTGTCACATCACACTGACCCTGCGTGGCAGCCTCTTGAGGCAGAGCTTACTGTCCTCATGTTACAGTGGAGGAAACTGAGGCTCAGAGGGACGACGTGTATGTGGCTTGCGCCAAGCCACACTTGGGAAGTGGCAGAGGTGGGCCTAGGACCAGTCTTGTGATTACAAATCCCACCGCATCCATGCTGCCAAAGCTGTTTTGACATTATTATTCCATAATTTTCAATTACCCACATTCCTGGAAGGGGCTGTTGACCAAACCATTAAGTGACCACACCAATTAGTGTATTTCAGTCTGGCTCTGGGATGTCTATGGGATTCCTTTTTACTTGGCAACAACATACCATTCTAAAGACATTTGTTCAGGCTGATTTCTGGAATGCCCAGGCACAGCCCTGCTGAAGAAGCTGGGGGTGGGGTGTGGACAGGCAGTCTGGCGTCCAAACACAAGGTTTCCTGTGGTGCAGCCGTCCGCGTTTACTGGGAACAGGTCTCCAGCCCCCTGATGCGCAGGAACCCCAGACCCAATATGGGCTCAGCCCTCCCCAGCCCCAGCTGGCAGGGCGGCAAGTTCACATCACAGCCCAGGGGCTGGCAGAAGATGCAGGGAGGGAACATCCCAGGCCACTCGCCGTCCAGCCTCTCCTTTCCGCCTGTCCTGTCTCCTTATCCCTCCCTCCTGCCTGCCACTGGGCATGGGAACAAAAAGCCCCCTGTGGGCATCTTAAGAATGACAAGGGGAGAGGATACAAATGGGAGAGAGGAGAGGCCTGGACAGGGCATCCCACTGGCCACCAGCCCTTCCTGAACCCTCTCCCCAGCTCCTGAGCCTCCTGCCGTTCCACTCAGCACCTTCCTGGCAACCTGCTCGACTTTGTTCTTCATCTCTTTGCCTCTGCCTCTCTGTCTCTGACTCTCTCTCTGTCACCCCCATCTGACTCCCAACATCAGGCTCCAAACAGTCTGCAGCCCTTTTCCCCCAGCTGTCCTGTGTGGGGTGATGAGACAAGCCTGCCTCAAACTCTGTTCCTGTTTCGCCAGCAGCATCGAGCAACCCTGCATGGAGCACCTTCTCAGGGCCAAGCACCGTCCGAGCATGGGGTCCTGCAATGACCAGGCTGCAGCAGATGCCTCGGGAAGCTTGCGATGGAGCCAGCAGGCACAATATGAATCAGTTGGAGCTCCCGTAACAGCAGCAGAGGGGCCACTGGGGGCTCATGTTCTAGCGACTACAGCTGTTCACCATTGCTTCCTAAGACCAAGGCTCTGCAGAACCTGGCCTCATGCTCCCTGCTGGCCACCCCCTTCTCCAGCCTGGCTCGGTCTGTGGCGCAGCACCAGCCTTTTTACACACTCGCACATGCACACACACTCCTCCACGGAGAAGCAGCATGGCATAGGGAATCTCAAGTCAGAAGACCTGGGTTTGAGTCCAGGCTCTGTCAGCTACTTTCTTAGCCTTCCTCAGCCTCAGTTTACTCGTGGGTCAAATAGGCACAATCGCAAAGGCTGCCTCACGGCATTGTCCTGTCCTCCAGATGTCTCAGATGCTGTAAACACATGCTAGATGTCGTCATGTTCACTGTAATGTTAGTTATCATTTTCTTTTACCACAGCTCCTTCCCTCTCAGTTTACTGACCCCAGGTCCCGTTCCCTCCGGACTTCGCTACAGAACTGATCATTAACCACTTTCAAGTTTTTCAGGGCAATAGTGATGATATGTTAATTCTTCATGAGAGTATTTGCACTTGACTTGGGGCGTCCGTGCTGCATGGCGCAGTGGTGAGTGAGGTCGTGGAACTGTCACACCCCGTGTACCAGGCCACTGGGGGAAACATTGAAGGGGAGATAGGGGCCCTCTTGCTATCCCTGAAGTCAGGCCACCCAGGAGGCTGCCTAGTCTGTTTTGTGGAGGGAAAGGAAGGGGAAAGAGAGAGCTGTTGTGGGAGCCTGCCATGTTTATCAGCCTGTGGAGGTGTGGGCCCCTCCTCTGCGCCGGGACGACGGAGGAAAGGGAGACGTGGCTACCAGGTTGCAGGGGGCAGAAGCGCAGGAAGCCAAGTGAGTGGCCCAGGCTGTCAGTGCTGGCGCCCCCGCAGAGCAGGGATGCTGAGGGCAACGGAGGTCAGAAGGGACCTGAACAGGCCTCCCCACAACATGACCCTCCCTGTTTCCCTCCTAATGCCGAGGTGAAGTGAGTCCCCCCTCCCCCTCACACACAGCTCTGAGCTGGGAACAGGCAAGGGTCATGATCAGTGATCTCCCCAGCAGATCAGGTTGGGAACAAGAAAAGAGAAAGTAACGAACCGCCGTTATCAGCAAAGCCCTTCTGATAAGGGATTTATTCAAAGATGGGACAAGATGAAAAGCTGAGAGCCAAGGGGGTCAGAGGCAAGAATGTCCTGGAAAAAGCAGCCTGGGGGTCTCCGGGGGGCTCCCTCTTCTCAGTGTGTTGGGAACAGACAGCTCTTCTTGCCTCATAGGACCTCCACGCCCAGGTCCAGCGGCCAGACGGACGGTGACTGGGGGTGCTCCGACTTTTCCTAATCTGAGAACATTATTCCACAGCCTCTCCCTTCCAGAATCTTCTTGCTGCCCGGTCTCCTTCCCCCCACATTAGCCTTTCAGACTGGTCCCAGAAAATACCAGGCTTCCTTCCTTTCTCTGTGCATCTGGTTATTGGACAGAGCCTTAGCCACTCCGTGCATTCATTCACTCCTGGGGGAAGAGGCCTTCAGCCTGCCTGCTGTGGGCTCCTTGGGGGGAAGGTCCCCACTCGACACCTCTCAGTGGGGACAGACACAGGGCCTCCCTTCTGGACACTTGCCAGGCAGGCACAGGGCCTGAGACCTCTGCCCATGGAGAGGTCACCAAATTACCCGAATACCTGGGCTGTGGGCTTTGGTTCAGGCAGCTCAGGCCTGACGCCTGCAGAGGGCCTGGCCAGTTTCCTATTCCTGTGTGGGAAGGGCACCCTGCAGCCCAGCTCAGGGGATTTGGGGTTCAGGTTCCATCCCGGGTCCCACCTCCAGTTTCAGGCATATGGCCTTGCGGTGCTCAAAGCAGCTTCCCCTCATGCCATCCCTGAGAGGGACAGAAACATCTTTGCATCTCATTGTTTGTAGGTAAACAGTTTAAAGTTTAAGTCGACAATATGAAATTGCCTATGAGTAAGTAGCAGCTAGGCCTTGTGAGGTGCCCATTGTGTGACGTTACATAGTGTCTTCAGTTCTCACAACCGCCCTGTGAGGTCGGGGTGGTTATCCGAGGAAAACGAGACACATCAAACATCTCGCCCACCACCCATAGCTAATAAGTGACAGCGCCACCCCGTTCTGCCAGAGGCTGGGGGAGATGTCTCAGCTTCCTTGGGGCCACCCAGCTGGTGGAGGACAAGGAGGGGGCTCTCCATTCCCAGGGCTCTGCCCACCTCCGCTGACCTCACCTGTCTGCTCCTGCAGACTGGCCCAGTCGTTATGGGCCCTCTTCACCTCCTCTCTGGCCATCTCCCTGGTGTTTGCCGTCATCCCCTTCTGCCGTGACGTGAAGGTGCTGGCCTCTGTCATGGCACTGGCGGGCCTGGCCATGGGCTGCATCGACACCGTGGCCAACATGCAGCTGGTGAGGATCTACCAGAAGGACTCGGCCATCTTCCTCCAGGTGAGCGCACAAGCAGGAGTGGGGCTGGGTGGTGGCGAGGACACAGGAGAGCTCCCTAGGCCCTGTCCATCTCTCCCAGCCCCCTCCACCTTGGCCCTCTCCCCAGGGTCAAGTATCTGTTCCCTTGGGCCAGGGTGGTGACTGAGAAAGAGCACCAGGCTCTCAGTTCAGTGTGACAACTCCCAGCTGGGCCCACTGGGCAGTCACTCAGCATCTCTGGACTGGGGTCTCCTCGTCTCTTAGATGGGGTAACGATCTTTCTGGCATGGCAGGATGGTCACGGGAGGCTGAGTGCTCATGAGAGAAGGCTCTTTGTAAACTGGGAAGTGGCATGATGGGAGGGATCGCCGTTTTCTCCTGTCTTCTTATTCCTTCTTCCTTCCTTCTCCTCCCAGTTACCAGTCCAGCCCTTCCCTTTATTAAGCCCCCTTCCCTTTGCGGTGTGACCTGGTGGATACTAACATGGGGACAGCCCCCAGTCAGGGGTCAAGATTTGAGAAAGAAGGGAGAGTGAGGGAGGGGATTGGCCCCCGTCACCAAGTTATCCCAGGCCAGGAAGGTGGCTGAGAGGAGCTTCACTCCTCTCCTCTCCTGCCTCCCACTCTCTATTGCTCCCCACTGTGGGGCCAGGCAGGGGCTCCCCAGATGAGATGCATGGCTGGAGGGTGAAGCCTGAGCCATCCCCCACCCACTTCACTTCTCCCTCCACAGGTTCTCCATTTTTTTGTGGGCTTCGGTGCTCTGCTGAGCCCCCTTATAGCCGACCCCTTCCTGTCTGATGCCAACTGCTTGCCTGCCAATAACACAGCCAACGCCACCTCCGGCAGCCACCTGTTCCACGCCGCCAGGGTCCTGGGCCAGCACCGCACTGAGGCGCGGCCTTGGTCCAACCAGACGCTCCCTGGGCCACCCCTGCAGGATGGGGCAGGGACCCACGTGGGCTACGCCTTCTGGATCATGGCCCTGATCAATGTGAGTGCCACTGGTGCAGGGCTGGGTGGGGACAGTCACACATACCAGTCCATACCAGCTCCCAGTGCAGATTCTTCTGATTCTGAGCAAGGTGCTGGGGCGGAGGTGTGCCCTTAGGAAGGCAAGAGGATGGGAGACCTGACCCCCAGGGATTCATCTGAACACAAAGGAGGTCAAAAGAGATCATCTCTGAGGTCCTTCAGTTGTGACATCCTGTGATGGCGATTCTCAAGGCAGGTAAAGCAGTGAGCGAGCAGGTTTAGCACGGTGATGTCAGGGTCAACTTTCAAGTCGTCTGAGGCTCTGTGGGAAACCGGCTCTTTTCCTCCAAGGCCAGATGAAGTAGACCCTGGGACAGAGCACTGCAGGACCTGCCGGGCTCTTCTCTGGGATCTTCAATCACTGGTGGGAGTCTCTGGTGCCCTGCTGTGAGGTGGGCTCCTGTGGAGGCCAGGGGACAGACAAGATGACCTCCAAGGGACGCTGCCTGCCAAGGCTGCCTTGGTGGGAGCAGAGCAGATAGACCACCTCACCGTGACTGGTCAGATACTGAGGTCCCTCTGTACTCCCAGCTCTCATCCTCCCCTGCCATATCAGCACTGACTCTAATCTCTGGCTGGAAACCCCCGCTGGTGTCTGCAGCCCAAAACAGGTTCTCCCACGTTAGCCCAGGCTGGGGCCAGAGGGAGAGGTGGGGAGACTCCCCCCCACCCCCTCTCTGGCTTGAGAAGTTCTGTTAGGAACACCAGGAGCAGCCCTGGCCTCCTGGCTTGTGCCCAGCATGGGCTGGGGCTGGGGAGTATTCCAGGTGGCCGTTGGCCTGGCTGTGGGATGGAGGCGCTGCATGGCTTGTCACCCTGACTTAGAGCCTCTTTTTGTACTAGGCAGACGCATCAGCCATCCAGAGGCAGGCAGACTGGGCTCGGGTACTACAGCCTCTGCCCGGCTGCTGCTGGGCCTCAGAGCGATGCCAGGCATGTAGCACTGAAAGGGGCCTTTGAGACCACCCAGGCCCACTGAGCAACAGGGCAGCACTGGCTCAGTCAAGGCCCTGATGGGGCTTAGGAAGAGGCAGGGCCAGGCCGGAACCCCGACTCCCAGCACAAACCTCCGACCTGCTGCCCCATAGTCACTGCTCATTTTTCCTTTCTTCTCCTTTGTAACTTTCCTTTCCCTGTACCAGAATCTTCACTGAGGGCTCTCCGAAATGCACCCCTCTCCTTCTGCTCCTTCCCTTTTCTGCCCGTGCCCATCATTGTTTTGGAAATAGTGCAGCTTTGGGCCCGTGCCCTCCAAGGGGGCCTGCGAAGGGAAAGAGCACTGTCAGCACAGTGTCAAGGCTGAGGCTCCAGGACCAGGACGCCGGAAGGTCCAGCTTCAGCCTGAGAGCTCTTTTGTCTTGCCCCACACGGTGTGGACTGGAAGCACGGTGTTTGCTGCAGGATTTCCGGGCTTTTTCCATTGGTTTGTGTCTGAAGATAAACAGTCCACCGCAGAAGAGAATGGGGCTGTGCGTGCATGTGGGTGCGCACACACATACACACAGAGGCGCACACACACACACAGGCACAGCCCACCTGGCACCCTCAGACTTTTAAGGTGGAGCCTGCCTTCCCTGAATGGGCTTATAAAGATGGCGTGTGTTCCTGCCGGAAGCGCCGGCCAGTCCTCTGTGCCGTCCTTCCCACCACCCATCTCCCTGGAAAGCCCCACCTGAGTGATCCCGCCTCTTTTACAGCTGTTTCCCCTTGGCCTTCACCCAAGCATTCTGCCACCGCAGGCCTCTGCATGTGGGTTTCCTGTTTCCCCCATCAGACTGGAGGGAGGGCTTCATCTCCCCCTTCAGACCCGGGACTCCTGAGGGCAGGGCTGTTTTTCGTGCAACTCAGGCCCAATTTGTGGCTCTAGCGCTGCTGGGGGGAGGAGGGGGTCTGACTTTGACCTGTTTTTGAGTGTGGAGGGAGGCTCTCAAGGTGCCCACAGGGAGGTCAGGACGGGTGGTTTTCGGGTGACTTGGGAAAATGCCTGAATGGGCCAGCGTGGCTCCAGGCGAAGAGCAGGCTCCTGCTGAGCAGCACCAGGCAGGGGCTGGCAGTCCCCTGACTTCCATCTCTACCCGCCGGCTCTGCCTGTGAGCTCAGAGAAGCCCATGAGCCTCTGGCAAATTTCCGCAGTTCCCTGGGCTTCCTCTCAAGAGGAACTGGGATGAAGTTGTAGCAGGAAGGGCAGAGGTTAGACTTGATGAGGAGCTTCCTGGCAGCGAGGGTGGTTAGACACAGGCAGCTCCCCTGAGGGAGGTGGTGGAGGCTTCTCCAGGCAACCTCAGAAGCAAGAGACATTTCCCATTGCTCTGGGGAGTTCATAAAACCTAAGTGGCTTAAGGTAAATAGCAGTGAGCATAACATTAAGCTTGTGTGTGCGTGTTGCTCGTAGCTTGCATTTTTCAATCAAAAGGAGTCCCTGTCTCTATTTTCCAGACACCAAGCCCCTGAGGACAGCCTCTGTACCCTCTTAGGGTATTATATCACCCAGACAGCCCCTAAGGTGGAGACAGCACTGACAGATTCAGGAGGCCTGGGCTCCAGTCCAGCTCTGCCCCAAGCCAGCTGTATGCCTGGGCACTAACGCTCCCTGGGTCTCTAGCTTACTGCTCACGTCTCTTCCAGTTGTAACAGGTTATGACTAAGTGACAACTTTGAGCCTCATTTGCCCCAACTGGAAAATGAGGATAATTCCCCCCAGCACACTTCACAGAGCTGTGATGAACAAAAGCCAAACTTTGTAAAGCATCACGTGATCTAGCAGGATGAAGAGTGAGGAGCCAGCGCCAGCACCATTCAGGATAAGGACGTTAGAAATGAGTTAATCTCTGGCACCTCTCCTGTGCCAACAGAGGCCCAGTGCGAGTCCAAGCTTTGCATGTGACAAGTACCCGTCTTCAGGGAAACGGATGTGGTTAAGGTTGGGCAGCAGTTACACCACGCCTGCCCTGGGTCAAGGCACCTGGCTGCGTTAGCTGGGGATGGCTCTTAAGTGGACACCCTTGGAAAAGAGCTGTCTTCTCCCAGGACCGTGCAGACCCTGTGTGTGCCATACAGCCGAGTGGAGGTGTATGCAGTGGGCCTGGCTTGGGAAGGGGGGCGCCTGACGGGAACAGGGCTCTCCTGACCCTCTGCTCACCTCCCAGCTCCCAGTGCCCCTGGCTGTGCTGTTTCTGCTGTCCAAAGAGCACCTGCTGACCTGCTGCCCTCAGAGGAGGCCCCTGCTCCTGTCTGCAGATGAGCTTGCACTGGAGACGCAGTCTCCTGAGAAGGAAGACACTTCCTCACTTCCCCCAAAGTTTCAGCAACACCGAGGTAGGGGCTCTAATGAATTTTCATGCTCACAGCCCCATACCAATGCTTCCCTGGTACTCCGCCCCCAGGGTGGACGTAAATCACAGGTGATAATGGTTGGAGAAAAACACCTAGGCGCTAATGGTCTTGTAAGGCAGGAGATGGAGCAACCTGGCCAAGAGAATGAGGAAGGCAGACTTCTGGCTCTAACCTCCCGCCTGCCTAAGCCCACCTGTGTGATCTTGGGCAAGTTACTTGACCTCTCTGAGCCTTGTCTCCACCAGTACTATGAGACGGGGAGGGGCTGTTCCAGCAGATGCTTGGAAGCTAGAGAAGGTGGGAGGCAGTAAGCGGTCCCCCATCCTGCCAGGGCTCTTCATTGGCCACTTGCCCTGGGCATGCAGAGTGAGGAGAGCAGTAGCTGAGACTAGCCCCTGTTCCTGTGTCTCACCCAGGGCACGAGGACCTGTTCAGCTGCTGCCAGAGGAAGAACTTCAAAGGAGCCCCGTATTCCTTCTTCGCCATCCACATCACAGCCGCCCTGGTCCTGTTCATGACCGATGGGATGACGGTAAGCCAGCCTTTGGAGGGTGCCCCTTATTGGGGGACCCCAAGACTCAAGTCTGGGGCTGGCAAGAGAAAGGAGGAGCATCAAGCTTTCCTAGAGACCTCACCTCGTACAGTCAATTCAGAAATTTAAACGAAATACAAGTCCTGGGGGAGACTGCCTCCAGAATCGTTCACAGCCCCTTGGTACTATGGTCTTCTGTCCCAACCAGTTGTTTTTATTTTTGTTGACTCTGTGGATAGGGGCCTACCTGGTTTGTTATCAAGGGCAGGCTCCCCACACTTTTTTGAAGGAGCGGAGCCCCGTTCCCCCAAGTAGAGGTCATGCCATATAAACTCTAGGGCAGTCTGCTTCCTGGGACACATTCCAACCCTGAGCTTCTCGAGCCACGTTGTGAAGAAGCTGCAGGCAGGATCTGGGCCAGCTCCTTAGCCCACTAGTGACCTTGGTCACGCTATTTAGTGCCCATTTCCAGAAATCTCTTAGGATGAGATTAGGACAATTTTGAATGGCTGATGGATTAACTGCATATGAGGGACTCTCCGAAGAGAAGGCCCTAAAAAGTTTAGATGACCTGGTGGAAAGTACTCGTGACAGTACTGGTTGACTCCAACTCTCAGTGTGACCTTGGGCAGGTGACTTCTTTCTGCCTTCCCATTTGTAAAATGAGACGCTGGAGCACACCGTTTTTCGCTGCGGCACTTTCCTTCAACAAAAAACCTTCTGTGGAATCCTTGTACATAAGACATGTAGTGGAAGGCTGCTCGGATCGAAGTGGGCAGCAGCGCCTGCATGTCCAGATCCCTCGGGACTCCCTGTGGCGATCCAGAGACACCTCCCTGGGACCCCGAGGCCTCCGCAGCTGTGGCACCCCAGGTTCTGTTCTCAGCTCAGGCCTCTGTGTGCTGTATGACCTTGGCTCTAAGCCCACCCTTTGTGGAGCCTCTAGGGGCAGGACCAGTCCTGCCCCAGCCCACACCATACCTGCCCCAGCTGGGGCTTCCTTTGAGAGGGTATTGTCTGCAGGTGTGCTCAGTGGGGCCTGTCTATCCACAGGGGGCATATTCTGCCTTTGTGTACAGCTATGCGGTGGAGAAACCCCTGTCTGTGGGACACAAGGTGGCCGGTTACCTCCCCAGCCTCTTCTGGGGCTTCATCACCCTGGGTCGGCTCATCTCCATTCCCATCTCCTCAAGAATGAAGCCAGCCACCATGGTTTTCATCAATGTGGTAAGTGGCCTCCTTTCACTTCTTTGAGACCCAGGAGAACCATTCACTCCTGGCTCTACCACTGCCCTAGGACTTTTGCTCGGCACTGGATTGTGCCGGCAGGGTGGGAATATAGGAGTAAAGGGAAGAGGAGAGGGGAGGAGAGAGATGCTGGTGGAGAAGGGATGGAAATCCAGGAGATGGAGCTTACCCATGTGACCTTGGCCTCTGATTTTGTACCCATCAAAGGAAGAGGCTGTAGGAGGTGGTCACTGCTGTGTGGGGGCGGATCCCAGCTGACAGCCTGCCGGAAGTATGAGGGAAGCAGGTGCTGGCCTTGGTCCTCCCTTGTTCCCTTTGGTGCCCAGCTGGCCGGAGCCCTATGGCAAGGGGAGGCCAGGGATACCCTGGCCTTCAGAATCACCATCTCTGGATGGGGGCCTGGGAATTTGCATTTTGAAGCTCTCCCAGGTGATTCATAAGTAGCCAGACTGACATGTAAGACGACCTTCAAGGAACTGGTCTGCCTGGGAAGCAGGAGGTCTGGGTCAGAGTGATGGGTTAAGATGTTCACCCTGATGTGTGTCCATGTCACCATCTATCATAAAGGGGTCCATATTACAGATGGCTGTAGGATCATCTAGCGCAGCCTCCCACTAGGGCTTGAATCACCTCTATAATATCCCTTCCAAGAGGTCCACAGTCTGTTTAAACACCTCTAGTGACTGGGAACTCACTACCTTTCCAAGTAGCCCAATCCACTATCAGAAGGTGCTTCCTTGGGTTGAGTTTCTTGCGGAGAGTGGGTGGGAAATAATGTTGGGGCTACAGAGACCAAAGATCTTGAGCCCCAAGCAAGGCCCTTGGATTTGGCCTTGTGCTGGTTGATGACCTTCAAGAAATTTCCATTCAACATAGATGGGAGTTAGGGAGGATAGAAGCCAAACTCAAGAGTCTGAGGGTGAGAGGGAGATGGGAAGTGGAGGCGTGAGTATTGCAGATATTTCTGAGCTGAAGGCAGTTTTGCTTGACAGGAGTTGGGTGGTGTGAGCCTGTTTTTCGGCAGAGGAGAAAGGGAGGAAGCCTGTAAGGAGGGGGTCTGTGAAGGTAGCATTGTCGGAGAGTGACTGGTAAGGAAGGCCCCGGAGTGGGGGAGGGGATGGAAGTGCTAAGCCCGAGGAGGAGGGCCCCGCCTGTGGAGCTGGGGTGACACGAGGCAGGGAAGGAGGACTCCACCAGTCCGTGAGGTGGGAAGAGTGAGGGTGCTGCTGGTGGCCAGCCTCTGTGAGGCGTGAGGCCAGCTGCTTAGAGAGAGGGGAGCAGGGTGGGGCTCCGGGTTTGAGAGAAGAAGGAAAGTCGGAAGCATCCACAAGACTTAGGCCTGACAATAAAAGCTCACCTAGAGTGCTGGGTTTTAAGAAGGAAAATCAGATTCCTGGGCCCAGCACAGATTTTGTGAATTAGAATGTCCAGGGAGGAGCCCAGCAATCTGTATATTTAATGGACACACCAGGGGAGGGGGTCATGTCCTCAAGCAAGTTTGAGGAAACACTGCCCTAGAGCAAGTGATTCTGAAATACATTAGAGCCACTGGAGGTGCTTTTGGAAAATACAGATTCCTGGGCCCCTAGCCCAGAGGTTCTAATTCTGAGGGTGTGGAGAGGAAGCTGGGCATCTGGATGTTTGTAAAGCATTTCGGGTTTTTAAAGCTTTGGGGGGCCACCCTGTTGGGATTATAGCTAAACAGCCCTGAGCAAGCTCCTTGAGGCTGCAGCTGCCAAGTGACCATCTCATTCACTGTGGCTACTTCCAAGTAGTCCTCTCATCGTTAGATTAACATTCACCCTGCTCTCAACACTCTCCTGGGTCTCAGCAACCACTACTGGTTAACCAGCACGCACTTCATGCAGGGCCTTGCAGGGAACTGCGGGGCTGCCAAGTTCCCTAAGCCAGGTCTCTGCCTCCAGGGAGCTTACAGTGGGCTGGGGAAGATGAGCAGGGGAGAGGGAGAGTGTGCCCGGCCCGGAGGATGAGGATGAGGCGTTGGGAGGCAGGTGGGAAGCAGGCTGAGGAGGGGGCCACACCAAGTGGGAGGAGAGTTGGTTGGCAGAGTTGCTAATTCACCCTGGGCATACTCAGTCTTCTGTCACCCAGGCTAAGATAAGAGAGTTAGGCATTTTTAAAACTTCCCCAAGTCTAGAGATTGTCAGGCTTGCCTGGAAATATGTGTGGTTTGTAAGTGGGGTTGCCAGGTGGCAGGAGGGGAGCAGGAACAGTGCCTTCAAAGTACTGGTTCTGCCTCAGCCTCATAATTTGAGAGCTGACTCTCAAGAAGACGCCAGCCTGCAAAGAGCAGAGGGGCGAGTGCTCCTGGCAGAGGGCACTGCTGGTTGAAAGGCCCCAAGGGGGGAACTAACTTGGTGAGAGCATGGCGGGCAGGGTCTGGGTAGGGAGCAGAAAGAGATGAAGTTGGGGAAGCAGACCCGGGCCAGTAGGGTTTTGAAAGCTAGGTTTTAGATTTTATTTTAAGTAGGCAGAAAGCCTGCAGAAGGTTTCACGTGGGAGTGGACATGATCTCCTTTGCATTTTAAAAGCACACGCCGGTTGTGCTGCAGAAGAATGAATTGTAGAGGGCAAGGGTGAGGCAGGAGACAGTGAGATGCTGCCATGGCAGCCCAGGCACGAGCGGTGGCAGCAGGATGAGGGTGGTCAGGATGGATTGGGAGAGGTGCAAAGAGTCTCTGAAACGTTTTGGGACTTGCTATTGGCTAGAATATAGGAGGTGAGAGACAGGAATCAAGGACCACCTTAGATACAGGGCTTGAGCAGCTAGGTGGGCAGGGATGCTGTTAACTGATATGGGGAAGAGCAGGTTTGGGGGAAGAGGAGGAATTCTGTTGTGGCCACCTTGTTAGTGTAGAGGAGGAAGAACTATTCCTCTGTCCTCTGGGTCCTTCTGGCTGGTCTAAGAACTAAATTGACATGAGACAGAATAACAGGAGAAAATCAAAGTTTAATAACATGTATATAGGGGAGAAACCCAGGAAAACTGAGTAACTCCCCAAAGTGGCAGAAGCCACTACATTAAATACCATCTTCAGCTAAGGACAAAGGAGGGTGTTGGGGGCAGTGGTTTGGGACTTCAAAGGGGAGGAGGGCAATTCACATGGAGACGGAAAAGCAGATGTTTGGTAAACAAATGTTTGCTGGGCCATCTACAGGCAATGCGACCTGAGAGAGAACTTGCATAAAAATGGGCTTAGGAAGGATCCTGTCGGTCTACCACACCCAGAGTTACCTATGGTGATGGCCTGTCCTGGGACAGGCCTCCTGTCTTGAATTCTTTTAGGCAAAAGGTCAAAGTTTTTTCTTTCAGAGTCTTTTGCCTTTAAAAATAATCAAGCCAGGGCCGGCCCCGTGGCTTAGTGGTTAAGTGCGCGCGCTCTGCTGCTGGCGGCCTGGGTGCGGATCCCGGGCGCGCATCAACGCACCGCTTCTCCGGCCATGCTGAGGCCGCGTCCCACATGCAGCAACTAGAAGGATGTGCAGCTATGACATACAACTATCTACTGGGGCTTTGGGGGGAAAAAATAAATAAATAAAAATCTTAAAAAAATAAAAAAAATAATCAAGCCAAAGAAACATATTTTAGGGTGGCCAATTCTGAGCCCCCACTTTAGTCATCCAGTGACATATCATAGGGGCAGTTTTATATGCAAGTCTGGAGCTCTGGACTCAGGTCTTGGTTGGAGGGGTAGATTTAAGAGTCCCAGCTTAGAGATATTTGAAACTGTAGAGCTGGACTAACGGAGTGCAGACAAAGACGAGCCAGAACGGAGTCCTGGGCCATGCCAACATGTAGAAAGTCAGCAGAGGAGGAAGCAAGAGCAGAGGGAGCGCTGTGGGATCATTTTCTACACCAAAGAAATACATTATATTTGGAACCACAGGTATGTCCATTGCTTTTGTATTTTTACTGCATGAAAGAATGCTTTCATGTTGTCTCTCCATCAAGAAGAGAATGTGTTTCCTTCAGCCACTGTTTATGGCAAATCCCCCTCCAGGGCAGCAAGTCTTTCTTGGTAAGGACTCTGAGCCTCAATGCATGAGTCTCAGGCCTAAGAGATCTTGCAGCAGACACTGAGGGGCTGGTGAGGGCAAGTAAGGGGGAGGCTCAGGATTGCAATCACTGGCTTTGTTTTTCCAGTTGGAGCAAATTCCCCAGGATCTGCCTGTGAGTGTGCAAGTCCCTTCCCCCTGCACACTCGGTTCCTCATCTGTAGAAACAGACTGGGGCAGGGGTTGGATTAGATGTGGTTTCTTACATACCTCCCAGCTCTCTACTCTATACTTTTATCTTATTTCTTCTAGAAACAGATGTACTCACCCAGGAGATTTTTACCTCAAAGCGATGGGTTTCTATAGATGATCCTATCTCCTGAGACATTAAGACAAGCTGACCCACAGATACTAGGATGGGTATTTGTCTGAAGCTTCATGCTCTGAGAGCCCCTCACTGCTGTCATCCACCAGACTCTTCAGCGTGGCTGGTAGCCCATTTTGCAGATTAGGAAGCTGGGAATCAGAGATCAACTACTTCAAAGCCCCAGAGCCAATGATAAAAAACAGGGTTGATAATTACACCTGGGTTTTCTGTGTCCAAATCTGTGCTGCCTGGGTTTCTTCCCAGTTGCATTTTGCATAGAAATTTTTCAGTATTGACATTTTTAAAGAATTTAGAAAAAGGGTTATTTTAACAAAGATAGCCCATGTGACAGAGACCCTTACTAAACTAGAAAGATTTCTGGCCTCTTAGCCCGTCACAGGGGTTTCCAACCTTATAGGTTAGAATCTGCCGGAGGGAATTGGAGCTGAATCGGGGCGCGGGGGTGGGGGGGAGCCAAGCGGGTTGTCACAGCCACTGACCCTCTCCCTGGGAGATCTGCAAGGATTCCCAGAGGGTGAGGACCCTGCAACCGTCACTCCATCTCTCCTGCTCCCCCACAGCTTCCTCTGAACACACTGCTTTTAGGGAAAGAGAAGCAGCTCCTCTTCCTGAGGAGCAGAAGACTCACCACTCAGGCCAGCAGGCAGAGAGCTGATGGCTTGGATGGAATTCCTGGGCTTATAGACAAGGCCCCGGGGCCAGGCAGACGTCCCTCAGCAAGCACTTCTTGAGCGTGTGTGGGGCCATTTGCGGAGCTGTCTGGGGGGCTGGCCTCCCTGCGCTTTCCTACATTCTCAGGGCTTCCTTGGTGGCCGCCACACTAGGGCAGGTGCAGTTCCCACATTTTCCACAGGGCAGCGCACTGGTCACACGGCGCTGCCCCTCATGCCTGGAGGAGGAACTTGCCAAGTCAGGACTCGGACTCCTGGTTTTCCCTTTGCTCAGTGGATGTCCAGCTTTTCGCAATTACTACTCACCTCCATCTCTACTGTGACAGGTGGGTGTGATGGTGACGTTCCTGGTGCTTCTTGTTTTCTCCTACAACGTCCTCTTCCTGTTCGTGGGGACAGCCAGTCTGGGCCTGTTCCTCAGCAGCTCCTTCCCCAGCATGCTGGCCTACACTGAGGACATTCTGCAGTACACAGGTGGGTGTACAGGGGCTGAGCTGAGAGGCATTCCCTCTGGCTGGTGCCACTTCCTCTGACACCCCGTCTTTCTGTGGTGTTCCAGCTAGATCCCCCACCTCCTCACAGAAATGATGCTCCCCTCCCATTCTGCTGGGAGCAGGCTCACACACAGGGTTGTTCTGATCCCCGTGGCTCCCCCATTCAACATGAGCCCTGGATCTTGTGACTTCAGGCCACGGAGATGCAGTAAGCTTCTTTCCCATTCCTTTTTTTTCCATCATAACGTCTGCTGACCCACAGCTGGCATGGTGTGACATGCATGTGCTGGGCATTCCAAGTTCAAGGAAAAGCCGTTTCCCGAGAGAAGTTACGGTGGAGGAAAGGGGTGCTATAGCTCAGTAAGAGCACCTCCTGCTCTGCTGCTCTTGTGGACGTTGTTCGAAGCATGAGCATTAGAACAAGGGCTCCTCACCTGATGTGGGGTGTGACACAGCTTCTTTGATGTCAGAAACCTCTAATTCTCTTGACCAATCTCCTCCCCTTTCTGTAGCCTCCCAAGTGCATATCGCAAAGATCAATTTTTTAACGAGTTAATTAAAAATAATTATGTTTTGAACATCTAACGTTACCCTTAGAAGTAACTAGAGAAGCCTTCAAGTGTTGGAAAACCAGCATTAAAGATGAATGATTTCTTTAGAGGAGGCGTGGGGGAAATTGGGGTATGGGGGTGGTCAGGGCAGTGAGAGCGACCCCAACTCAGTTTTCCACAGGAATGGGACATGGAGACATGGAGCCTTGAAACCCAAGGATATCCCCAGACCTCAAGCCAGTAAATGAAGTAATGAAACAGTGTTGGTACCACATGTCACACGGTATATCCCACAGAGGTTTAAGTGGTCAACAAATGTTAGAGTTTAATAATAATAGCAATGTTGTATCGGTTGATTCTGCCTGCAGATGGTCATCCAAATCCGTCCTCTTCTTTTCCTTTCTCACCATCCCTGCCTTAGTTCAGGAGTTGACCATCACTTACCTGCTTGGAATATTAAATGGTGCCCAGCTTTTCCCAATTTCTAATCACCTCCATCCGAGCCTTGGCAGGTCTGGGCCGGTCTCCTTGCCTTCAGATTTGCCTCCATCAGTGGCTCTCAATGCTGGTTCCACATTAATATCCCCTAGAGCACTTGTAACAGAACCCAAGTCTGGGCTTCCTCTCCACAAAGTCTGATGTAGTTGGTCCAGAGCAGCTGGGTGATCCTAACGTGTAGCCAGGGTGAGGACCACTTACTGAGTCATCCTCCGCCCTGATGCAGAGGGATCCTTTAAAACACAGAGCTGATCACAGCCTTCCTGTCTTCCTGTGCAGTTTTCGTCCTGCCTCCAGCCTTCTCCCCACCACTCCCCTCAGAGGCCTGCATTCTAGCCGTGTTATTTGCTCTTCCCTGATGGCACAAAAACTGTCCTGTACTTCCACACTGTGGCACATGGTGAATCCTCTGCCTGAAACGCCCCCTCTACTCTGTCCCACCCCTGTATCTCCTGCTCAAGTCCCTCTCCCCCGACCCTCTGGGAAGCTTCTCTGATCCCCACCGGAAAGGTGTGCCCCCTCCTTTGTACCTGCCTCTCGTGTTTGACACACCTCAAGGCTTTTGTTCCTACATTTTCTGTGTCCTCTCCTGGGCAACATGCTCCCGTGGGCATCAGCAGGGGATAAGGGCAAGAGTGTGGGCTTTGGGGTCATCAGCAGCCCTGAATGTCAGTCCTGCCTCACCCTTTCTGGCTTTGTCACCTTGTGCGATTCAACTCCCTTCCCCTCTTTGAACCTCAGTTTTCTCACCTGCAAAATGGGGATGCAAATACCTACCTTGTAGGAATGCTTGTGCATTAGAGAAAATGTAAAGCTCTTGACTTAGCAGCTTAACTGGCTCACAGGTGCTCAGTATCTATGTTACCCTCTGATTATTCATCTGAGTGCCCTCAGTATTTAGCACAGTGCCTGATGCACAGAGGTACTGAAAGGGTTTTGAATGAATGAGTGGAATAGACAGTGGGCGCTGCTGGAATTCAGAGACGGGAGTGACCAGTGTTGAATATAGAGATAGCTTCCTGGAATAGAGGGGACGGGAGCTGGCCCAGGATTTGGAAAAGCAGAAGGAAAAAGGAAAGGCATTCCAGGGAAGGGTGGGGCAGGGCAGTGAACAGTGTGAGAGCCAAGGCACAGGATAGGTCTAAATGTGAGCAGACCGAAAAGAGGAAGCTGAAGCCCAGAGCAGACACTGATGATCTCTGTTTTATTAAAAAAAACACTAAGTGTCTACCATATGTTGGCCACTGTGCTAATAATAAGCAGTGGTGGATGCCACTGAACCTAAAATTCAAGGTACAGTCCTCTCTCAGTGGGGAAGGCTGCCGGGAAGACAGACAGTGGGGTACGTGATAGCAGGGGGCAGGGGCCTGAGGGAGCACAGAGGAGGAACAGCTAATCCAGGTTTAGGGCTGGGGGAGAAGATAACTAAAGGAAGCCTAAACCAGGACTTCAAAGGTGAACAGGAGTTTGCCAGACAAAGAGTAAGAGCAGGAGTGTTCTGGAGGGAGTGAGCGCATGAGTCAGACCCTGGTGGCGAGAGGGAGTGTGCAGGGTCAGGACTCTGGAGGTAGTGTGTCCTGGCTGGAGGGCAGGTTGTGAGCAGGGAGTGTGAGAGACAAGTCTGAGCTCTCAACAGGGACAGATAATAAAGGGCCCTGCGAAGCACCCCGAAGGCAGCGTTGAAGGGTCGAAGCAGAGAACTGGCCTGGTGTGGAGGGTTTACTCTGTGCCAGCACTAAGCATTCACATGTATTGCATCGGAGTTACCACACAGCAACCCTGTGGAGGAGCTGTCGGCATGCCCACTTTCCAGAAGGAAACCAAGGCCTAGAGAAGAGAAAGAACTTCCTAAGGTCGCATGGCTGGTAGGTAACTTGCACAGCTGGGCTTGGAACACGAGTCTGACTCTGCAGCTTGGGCTCTGAAGGTCTGTGCCATTTTGCCAGATTCGTCAGAGGTGCAATGCCAGGGCAGTGAGGACAATGGTCTGAGGAGACCAGAGGGCTGGCCTGAGGAGAGCAGGAAGTCTTGCTGGAAAAGAAGGTGGTGGTCATATTGGGAAGAGCCCTGAATACCAGTCTGAGCAACTTGGAATTTACCCTGAAGACAATCACGAGCCACTGAAGGTTTCAGAACAAGGAAGGAACATAATGACACAGGACCTAAAGCAAAGTGCTAAAGTCTGAGAAATCTTAGGAATCCAAAGTAATCCCCTTAGGCAGCCATACCATTTTCCAGAGGCTTTCCAGAAACAACCTGGATCATGCCAGCTGATTTCTAACTCCTTAACTTGATTTTACTAAACCAAATCCTCTCTTTTGGTTAGGCTGTGCGACCACGGTGCTGGTGACGGGGGCAGGAATTGGCGAGATGGTCCTCCAGATGCTGGTTGGTTCGGTATGTGGGAAACTCTGGGCACGGGGGGAGCAGCAGGGGAGCTCTCCTCCAAGCAGGTGAGAAGGTGCTGAACCCAACTGGCCCTTCCCCAAGCCTCCCATGCAGCAAGGGCCTCACTCTGTCTGTGTTACCTGTTTCCGTTTCCGAGCCAGCCTTGAAAGCTGAGCCTCCAAATGTGGGACCTGGAGGTAGGAAGGGACGCGGGGTATAGTCCAAAGCAAACACCAGCCATGTCTGGGCGCAGGGCCAGAGGGGCCCCGTGGGAACATTGTTGAGCTCTCAGGGCCTGGGATGCGTGTGAGCTGCAGTCACAGCTCTTTTTCCATCCCGCCTCAACCTCCCACTCCCTATTCCCCCTCTTCTAGCCTTTGGCCACCCTGCAGCGGGCCCAGCTTTCCTGCCCAACCCGATCAAGGGCAGCTCTCCCAGTCCTCTTCAAACATATTCATGTTTTATTTGTTTACCAGGAGAAAGAATACATGTGCTTTTTACCGAAGACTATAATGTGGATATTGTTATTCCCCTTTTTACAAAGAAGGATACTGAAACTCAGATAAATTTAACAACCTGCCCTCGGTCAGTCACACTTCCAATAACTGACAGAGATGCTGTTCAAACCTCTGTCTCTCCGTCTCCAGAGTCCCCCTAATCACTCTTGTGCTTCCCTCTTCTTGCCCTGCCCTCTGCTCCCCTACCTCTTGTGATACCCTCTGCATCGAGAGGACACGTCTGGGATGTGCTTCAGTGTCATCTGGTGCAGGGAGGAGTGGGGCCCAGAGGAAAGTGGTGCTGGTGGTTAAAGTGGGGCGATGGCTCCATGGGAGTTCCATGTGCTACTCTGGCATATGTTTAGATTTTCCATAATAAAAGGCTAAAAATATATAAATATATGCTCTGCAAAGCTCTGGTCAGGCCTTGTGGGCATAGAAACACCTAGTATGACTGGAGTTTTAATGAAGATTTAGAGATTTTTCAGAAGGTTCCAGACACAGAGCTGAAAGGGACTGCAGGGGTCACCGGGTTCAACCCCTGCCTTAGAGCAGGATTTCTGCCTCCTCCAGAAGCATAACCTTGAAATGAGGCCACGACGTCCCTCCTACCTATGCTTCTATCTATTGGCGTGACGGGCCTCAACTTGACTAACAGACCTGCCAAGGCCCAGCAGGCTGCTTCCTCTACTGCATCTTCATGTGAGGTTTGACGGCTGGTGTCTGTGTTTTCCCCTTTGGCAGATCTTCCAGGCTCAGGGCAGCTATAGTTTCCTGGTCTGTGGCGTGATCTTTGGTTGCTTGGCTTTTACCTTCTATATCTTGCTCCTGTTTTTCCACAGGATGCACCCTGGACTTGCATCAGGTAAGGAAAGAATCTGTTTCTACACAAGAGGAGGAAAACAGAGCGGGGGGAAACATGGGAGATGCTATGGATCTTAGCACGCCACAAATGCTGTTCTGTTCCAAGTAAAATGCAAGGAAATGTTTATTTTTCTACAGCTTCCCTTTCCCCTCTTCCTGCTTTGCTGGGCGATTGTCTGCATTGGGCTCTTAGGGCAGGAGGGAACGAGGTAGGCTGACTCATGGTTTCTCCATTCGGAGAGGGGCATGGACTATGAATTTGGCTTCCCACATCCCACCATGCCACGGGACCAGCCTGTGCAGGGCACTGGAAGGCAGAGGCTGCCTCCTTGGCTGGAACTCGCCCAGCAGCCTAATGGGCCATCTCTTTGCAGTTCAGGATTTGACTCTAGTCCAAATCTCTTTTTCAAAAAGAAGTCCTTCAGGCCAAGTGGCAAAGAAAAGCTCCTTCAGGGCAGAGACACCTCCTAAGAATAGTCTCCTTCCTAGAGACCCCAGGCAGGGGGAGTCCCAGAGCTGTTTTCATAACCATGAGCCCTCACCTGCCCTTCCGCCCAGAGCTCTCCAAGTCCCAGCGACTGCATCAGCTGTGCAGGCAGCCAATGCTTGAGAGGAGGTGCCAGGCAGGGCCTTCATGCTCTGAAGGGACAGGATCCATCGCCCTGTCTCTCCTAGGTGGACATACGCATTCTTGCAACACTCAGTTTAAGGGCCCAGAAGAACAACGGGGCCCCTAATCAGCACTGACTGCAGCCCCACTTCTGAGATGGCCAGAGCCGGTCGTCCAGCCCGGCACTCAGCACAGAGGCTTCCTTTAGGCCACAGGTTCAGGAAATATTTGCTGAATATCAAGTGAGCAACACCTAATGAGGTCCCTATTCATGGGGGACAAAAAGAAATACATATTTCCCAAGCCTTAGACACTAGTCTCAACAGACCGCCATCACCAACAGTTTGCCAGAACTAGGAGGTGTGACTTTGCACTCTGCTCCCTGATGAGCCACAGAATGGCAGAGAAACAAAAAGCCTGGGGACGCTCTCAGCATGAATGATTGCTGCAACTAATCAGAGTTGCTGAAACCTGCGACTTGGTTTTTCTTTTGTAGTTCCTACCCAGGACAGACCGCTTGGAATGGAAAGCTTGGAGTGCTACCAGAGGTAAAACTGGGTGAAGGAGGCAGGCAAAGACTTCCAGCCTCTTGAGCACGGCACAGACCAAAGTGTTTAAGAAAGCTGCAGGTGGAGGTGGAGGCAATCTCTCCACGCCTTGGTTCGGATCTTCTCCACTAACACTTGGTTGAGTAGAAGAAATTAAACTGAGTTCTGGTACCTGGGTCCTCCCTGGGCAAATCATAAGCAGCTTACCTGGCTACTCCAGTTACCTGCCTCTTCCCTGGTTCAGACTGCTGGTCAGAGCCGTCCAGGACACCCAGACGGGAAGGAAGAAGACAGCCACATGCTGCCTTCATGGACCACACCCTGGGTTTGAGGATCACTCTTAGTTGAAATTTGAAAAAATAGGTTGACATTGTAAAGCTCGATGATCATCGCTATATGCAGATATATTTTTAAATTAATCAAAACAAACCCCAAGTTATTCTCTGGCATGCTCAAAGGATTTGTGTGCTTTTTACTTAGTAATAGTCCAAAGTCCCTCAAATTCCTGCTGCTGATACCAGTAGGTCATCTGTAATCTAAAACATCAAAAGGAAAAGCTGAATCTTGCTATCTTTAGGACACTAATTCAGTGGTATGTTGGGCTAGCTTAAACCAGCTTATAAAAGCTGACTGTTAAATTTTCATTTTGAGAGCTGGTTGTTAAACGCAGCCAATATTAAAAATTAAATTATAGAAATTTAAATTACATTAAAACAAAGGTAATACTCGAAGCTCATCACTTCCTAGTTGTTTTACATCTGTGCTCTGGAGGTTATCTATGTCTCTTGTACCTGTATGGTGGAGACATTATATAAGGGTGTGCTTCTGCACATCTCTTTCCAACTCCACTTTCAGTGATAACGTATTGGTAGCCTGAGATCAGTCATGATAGGAGTATTTACACCACAGAAATTGGCAAAAGCTACAAATCATGGCTTTGTTTTCCTCCCTGGAGAGCCAGCCGTTGAACATTTACCAGCATACCACTGCTAATAACCAGTTAGGTCCAGAAGTTGCCTGGAAGAATGGGATGGATGTTGTTTTTCTTTAGTGACATTGATTAACTTATAAAAAGTATAGAAACAGGGGCCGGCCCCGTGGCATAGCGGTTAAGTGCATGTGCTCTGTTGCTGGCGGCCCGGGTTTGGATCCTGGGCACGCACCAATGCGCTGCCTGTCAGGCCATGCTGTGGCAGCATCCCACGTAAAGTGGAGGAAGACGGGCACAGATGTTAGCTGAGGGCCAGTCTTCCTCAGCAAAAACCAGAGGATTGGCATGGATGTTAGCTCAGGGCTGATCTTCTTCATGAAAAAAAAAAGTGTAGAAACAGCACTAAGAATTTCTCAAAAATATCGAATGTAAACTTTACATCTTCTATAGAGACAAAAACTCTTGTCAAGTGTTTTGCCATGTCAAGTACCTTGACATACCATGTCAAGTTCGTTTTTTTTTTAACAGAAAGCCGGAACTACTGAACAGTTCAAGCTGTGCAGTACACTGAAAGCAGTGTCTGTCATGGAGTGACAGTTCCTGTGCCAAGCCAGTCCTGTATGCCACAGAGAATGCAAATACAGTGACTCAGAGAGGGTCAGAGTGCTGAGACTCCTGTCGGCAGGGAAGTGGCAATGACAGTGACCATCTGTATTCGTTTACCTGCACTTCCTCTATGAATATATAAATGTATATGTGTAAATATAAAAAGCAAGTGGGGGCCGCCCTGTGGCTTAGCGGTTAAGTGCGCGCTCTGCTACTGGTGGCCCGGGTTCGGATCCCGGGCGCGCACTGACGCACCGCTTCTCCGGCCATGCTGAGGCCGCGTCCCACATACAGGAACTAGAAGGATGTGCAGCTGTGACATACAACTATCTACAGGGGCTTTGGGGAAAAAATAAATAAATAAAATAAAAAAAAATAAAAATAAAAAGCAAGTGGATCATGGTTCTCAGTAACCTGTCCAAGTGGTGTGGTTTGCATGCCCGACACCAGGTTTATCCTGGAACCAAAGGCATTGTCACGGAAGCCAGGTCCGTCTGCCAGCAGCACAGGTAGCAGTGAGAATCTGGCTCAACCCCTGGCCTCACCTTCTAGCTGTGTGGCCCTGGGCAGATCACTGCGGCTCTTCCAGCCTCACCTTTTATCTGTAAAGTGGCATTTCTAAAAGAACCTTACCCTACCTCAAAGAAATTCTGAAAGAATTAAGTGAATTTGTGTAAAGCAATTCTTATATGCCTGACACAGAAATTGCTTAATAAATGTTAGCAATTTTTATTTTTAAAACCTCATAAGCAGCTTCGAAATTGTTCATATGTTTGGTACATATTTATTGTCAAACAGAGCCAAATTCATTTGAAAGCTGGTGGTATAGGGGTATAGTTTTAGCTATGTCTATAAATACTTAAAAGCATTAGATGGCAGCAATCTACTGTAGTGACTGACCTGGGCAAAAAGAAAACAGCTGTATTTTTCTTGTGGTTTTTCAAGAAAACATCCTTTTTATACAGATTTAGAAAGAAGAATCATGGCTATGTCTAAAGTGATCATGATTAATTTGTGAATATGGAAAACAAGACTGAAACAAATCTAAGAGTACCTTTCCTAAAATAAAATATTTTAAATTTAATAAGCGTGTTATCCATTATGAAGGACAATTGATCCTCTTATGTAAGCTCGGCAACAAATGACCAAATGTTCCCCAAAGATGGGTCTCTCTCGTACTACAGGTTCACATGGCTGATATTTCAGAAGAAACAAAACTCTCACAGACAGAACTGAGAACCACTGTTCCCTCTTTCATACACTCAGAACAAGGGGAGGCAGATAGGTTTTTATACCACACCTCACAATCAGTTACAGAGTAGGGAGGGCTTTTTTCCATCTGCGAGTCGGACATCTCAGAGTGCTGTGGAGCCATCCTGCTCCCGGATTTCCCTCTGCTACTCGGATGCAGGAAGCAACATACCCGACGCACTGACGGAAGACACAGGGACATGGAGGGCTTTTAGATAATTCATCTATCCATTTAAAAAAGATTTACTGAGAGGCCGGCCCAGTGGCATAGTGGTTAAGCTCACAGGCTCCACTTGGGTGGCGTGGGATTTGCAGGTTTGGATCCCGGTCATGGACCTCCACACCACTCATCAAGCCATGCTGTGGCAGTGTCCCACATGCAAAATGGAGGAAGACTGGCACATATGTTAGCTCAGGGCCAGTCTTCCTCACCAAAAAACTAAATAAGATGTACTGAGCACCTGTTCTGTTCAAGGCACTGATATAGGTGCAGAGGTATATACAGCAAAGAATGAGATGGAAGTCCCTGCCTCACAGAGATTACATAGCAGCTGAAGACATACTGACAGTAAACAGAAGATGCCACAGGATGAGGGATAATTGAGTGCCATAAAGAAATATAAAGCAGGGAAGGAGGGTGGGAAGAGAGAATGTCAAGGGATGCTCTGGAAGGCCTTTCTAAGGAGGTAGCATTTGTGCAGAAACCTAAACGATATGCAGGAGCAAGCCAAGTACCTGGGGGAGGATGGTACCAGGAAGGGACACAGCAAGTGCAAGGGCCTTAGACTGAATGAATACGTGTGTAGTAATTGAGGAACAGCAAATAGGCCAGTGTGGCTTAAGAGCAGGGCGGAAGAGGGAGAGCGGCAGGAAACAGGTTGCAGTGGTTGTGAGGGGCCAGATCAGATAAGCCATGGTAGGAGTGGGGGGATTTGTTTTTTTGCAGGGGAAGATTCGCCCTAAGCTAACATCTGTGGCCAATCTTCCTCCTTTTTTCCTTCCTCCCCCACCCACCAAAGCCCCATTACATAGTTGTGTATAGTTGTAAGTTTTTCTGGTGAGCCAATGCCACAGCGTGGCTACTGACAGACAAGTGGTGTGGTTCCATGCCCAGGGCCGCAGAAGTGGAGCACACCAAACTTTAACCTCTAGGCCACCAGGGCTGGCTCCTGGGGGGATTTTTTTCAGTTCTGTGAGATTGGGAGTTGTAAGCAGGCAAGGGACATGATCTGATTTACATGTTTAAAAGTAATACTCTGGTTGTCGTGTGAAGAGACTATGGGGCAAGAATGAAATTGGGGACAGCAGCAAGGGTACAATTGCAATAAACTATGTAAGAGAAGACAGTGGCCTGGAAATGTTGGTAGCAGTGGAGGTAGTGACCGTGATTGGATTAAAGCTATATCTTGAAAGTCAAACTGACAGAATTTGCTGATGGACTGGGTGTGTGGTGTGAGAGAAAGAGGCAAATCAAGGATGACCGCAAGCCATTTAATTTGAATAATTGGGTATATGATGAGGCCATTTAACATTGGAAGACAATGGGGGCACTAGACTTCTGTTTTGGATGTGTTCATTTTATGACGCCATCTTGGATGTCAAGAAGGCTGGTAGATATAAAAGTCTAGAACTTAAAAAGTCAAGCCCGGGGCCAGCCCAGTGACACAGTGGTTAAGTTTGCGCGCTCCGCTTCAGTGGCCCAGGGTTCACAGGTTCGGATCCCAGGTGTGCACCAACACACCGTTTGTCAAGCCATGCTGTGGTGGTGTCCCATATAGAGTAGAGGAAGATGGGCACAGATGTTAGCCCAGGGCCAATCTTCCTCAGCAAAAAAGAGGAGGACTGGCAATATATGTTAGCTCAGGGCTAATCTTCCTCACACACAAAAAAGTCAAACCCAAAGATTTAAATTTCGTGGCCAAATACATATAGTGTTTAAAGCCATGGGGCTGAATGAGACTACCTAAGAGTGATTGTAGACACAGGCTGGAAGCTTGAGCCCTGGGGTTCTTCAACACCTAGAGGTTTGAAAAAATAATAAGATCCAGCAAGGCAAACGAGAGAAGAGGCCAGAGAAGTAGCAGGAACTTCAGGAGAGAATGTGGTTTCCTCGAAGGCATGTGAAGAGTATCTCAAGAAGGAGGAAGTAATCAGTGCTGCCATGAGGTCCAGAGAGGACTGACCATGAACCACTGGATTTGGCAACATGGAAGGAAGGTGACCTCGACTAGAGAAGGGTTTCTGTCAACGATATATTCAAAACACGTGAGAATCCTAAAATCAACTCTGATGTTTCAGCAACCTCCTTGATACCAATGCTTTCCACCTATTAGGAATTATCTTTCCTGTTTCATTAGGCACTATCCTCTTCCTTTAAGGTTATTCCAAATTGTCGCCTTCATGGACTCCCTTCAGTTACACAGCGTTACTCCAGTAAGCGCAGTGCTTTGTCTGACAGTCAGTGTGAAATCTTACAACTGTTAATGACTAGCTCCTACCTGATAATGCCAGCCCTGGAAAACTACCCAACTTTAGGGTATAGTTTGTCATTAGATGCATCTATAAAATGCAGAAAGTGATTGCAAAATAGCCGTTATGCCTTTCAAAAAAGGACGTGTCAACAGTCAGGTTAGAAAATGGTGGATTAAACAGGCTGTTTTACTGAAGGACTTCTCAGAGCTTTTAATATTCCAATAGGCATTTTGAATCTCCAACCCTCATTGAGGTGACGACCCCATTTCCCAAACTTATTCGACCTCACGGGACACTGTTTTAGGTCATGTATTTTGAGGACAGTAATGGAGGAGAACCCAGCAGTCCTCGTAAGTGGTTCCCACTCAGCGGTGCTGCACATTGCTCACTGACCCATCCTCGGAAGGGACACTTCACCAGGATTAGTGAACTGCTGTCCCCCGCAGAACAATCCGTTACTCTATCTCATGATTTTCACCTAGAGA